TGGGGGAACCTACAGCGGGCAGAGTGGGCTTACTTTTGTATGGCGATGGCAATGGTGGCAACAAGTAAAGCTGCTGGTGGTAACGTGTGTTCGCGTATATGGCAAGCCCTAAACTGTCCTGTCTGTACATTTAACCTATTAACACGCGTATGTGTGTGTACGTGTGTGTGTTACACCTCGGTTGTGTTACCCAGAGAGGTGTAACGTGTGACCACATCGTTGGTGCCACATCACTGACGTAGGCATAACCGATCACAGCCCGGTTTGTAATCTTCCCCTCAGCAATTTCCGCATGCTCACATGACAGGAGTATTTATCTGTACACACATGCCCGTCAATTTCCAGAGGATGCTGTGCTGACAAGGAATGCATGGTTATGTAATGATCCTCCGCTGCCTCTGCAGATACACGCCGCAGGAGACCGTTTGCATTAGTGATGGGTACCGGAGGGAGGCACGCTTTTCGGCCATCACCGCCCTGGCACCCGACGGCAAGGGCAGTGTGTACATCGCGGAAGCCGAGCGCATCCGCAAAGTGGACCTCCTAAGCGGCCAGGTGACAACCCTGCCGGGCTCCGTGCCGCGAACTGGCTCGTGGACTGGGCTGTCCTATGATTATGATGCCGATGAGCTGTTTGCCACGACGGCCAGTGCAATCTGCCGCATTGATGTAATCACTTTGACTACAACTGCTGCCTCGGCGCATGTGTCTGGCGCCAACGGAGGAGAGCGCACCACCCCAATGGACACAGCTGCCGGTGAGCTTGAAGCGAAGGTGAACCTTGTAGCTGGCGACTGGCAGGCGGCCGGCAACACAGATGGTCCGGTAACTATAGCGCGCTTTACCCGCATCACTGCCATCCTGGCTGGTGTACATCGACAGCTGTACATACTAGATCATGACAAGTTCCGCATCATGAGTGTTAATGGCTACGTCAGTACGGCACTTACCGGGCTTCCAACAGACCAGTGCTCTATTGCTGCCTTGCCCAGTGGCGAGCTGGCTGTGGGCGCTAAGGGCTCCAGGCTAACGATTGTCCGAGGGCCCCAGCTGGGGCCCAGCAGCCCCACGTCAGGCGGCATCAAGGCTAGCCACTCCGCGCCTAGGCAAAGGCCGTCTGCTGCCCTCTCGAAGCTGCACCGGACACTCCTGCTGTGTGCAACAGGGGCGGATGTAAACCCAGCCACCGTCAATATTCACACGCGCGATGGCACTGTCTTCGTGGCACATCGTTCGGCCCTTGTGAGTCACAGTCAGTACTTCGAGAAGCTGCTGGTGCCGGGAGGCGGCTTCGCAGACAGTGGTGCTGAGGATGTTAAGTTGCCCGATGCCGACCCGGCTGCATTCCAGTGGCTGCTGGCCTACATGTACACGGGGGAGCTGTACATGCCAGATGAGCTGCTGCGGCCTGCCGTACTTCTCGCGGATTGGCTTTTGATGCCACAAGATTGCGTGGGGCAGCTGCAGAAGTGGCTGCTGGCGGTGGTCACCCCCCAGTCGGTGCTTTCGGATCTTCTCTGGGCGGAGCAGCACGGCATGACGTCATTGGTGCCACAGCTCAAGCTGTGGCTGGTGCAGCAGAGGAAGAGCGTGGTGTTGGGGGAAGAAGATCTGCGACAGCTGATAGTCCGCTGTCCATGCCTGGTGGCTGACCTGATCCGGATGCCCTGACATGCTGTGGCGTGCATGGACAGCGAGGTAGGATTAGCCGGCACAGCATCTTCATACCATAAGATCTCACAGGCGCATATACAGCATGCTATGCGGACTTCTGCTTGGTGTGTGTGTGTGTGGCTGGGAAGGTGAACACTGGGTGAGGTGAACGGCTCCAAACGACCGCGAACTCCTGTGTGCTAAGCTCTGCTGTTACTTAATTAAGCCACGTTGAAGGTAAGGGTTAGCATTAGCAAGCAAGCACTGGTATGGATATCAGGGATATGGTCCATGTCGGTCGTGGTTGTTGTGAGCCAATCATGTAACGTTACGACACCAACTGGGATTGACCAACAGCAGGCGTGGTGCGAACTCCGATGCTGTGATGAGCTATAGGACTCGCTCACTTTCCATTCCACATGGTCAATAACCGTAATAGGATTGCGCCATCTGGACATACTCGCCAGCTAGCTGTAATGGCTGTGTATTCTGAATCAATCATCACGGGAGCAGCTCCGCAAGGGCAATACATACACGGGGCTTGGATTTGCAGACCCCTCCCGTGTGGGTAATAAATGTAAGTATATTGCAAACATGCGACATCACCCTGGGACAGGCTGCTGCGGCAGAGGGTTGCAGAGATGGGGGATTGGGGGCAGGTACTGGTCAGGCGGGATGGGGAATAGGGTTGACGACGTCAGGATGGGATGTGGGGCCCAGGGCGAGGATTAGGGATTAGGCGTGCTACACTACTTTTGGGATGGGGATTGCTGTCTGGGGTGAGGATGGGGATGGGATCCCTGTCTGAGGGATGGGGATTGCAACCTTGACCAAGGAGGGGATTGGGAGCCCTGGCCAGGGATGGGGATGGGACCCTGGTCGACAGGACGGGGATTGCAGGCTTTCGCAAGTTTAGGATGAGGTCGCTGCCATAGGATTGGGAACACAGTTGGAGGATTAGATTTGGGTGTTCTGCTGTAAAATGAGGCTGCAGGTGCAGAACTTGGAATACTGACAGGACTGCAAAACAGGCCAAGGATGGATGGTTTAGTTGTCCATAGTTGCTTACATGGAAACTCAAACAAACACAAGGAGGTTCTGCTTGCAAGTCGCGTCCCATAGCAAACCAAACTCAAACACAAGGAAGTCCTGCTTGCAAGTCGCGTCCCATAGCAAACCAACTTCCTTGTGTTTGAGTTTGGTTTGCTATGGGACGCGACTTGCAAGCAGAACCTCCTTGTGTTTG